TAGAGCATTTTCTTAAAGCGGCGAAATGAATGTGTAGATAGACATTTACCTGGCTGTATACCAAGTGATCCATTTAACTTAGTCCTTAAGACACACATTATTTCAACAACTACTAACATTTTTGGAAATATTTTTTTTCACATAATTTCAAGTCGTTAAAAATAACATATTTCTAAAAAAAAAATGTTCACTATTTCTTTAAAGTTATCTTATTTAAAAAAAATGTATTTCAGCGTGCATTTTTGATTCTTCATTCCTGAGTAGAATATTTTTTGGAGAACTTCGATTTAGATAAATTGAATTTCGGATAAGTTATTTAAGAATTGTAAGAATTTAAAGTTTAAATCAGCGGAAGTGAGTTATAGTACCTCTAATACCCCGCCGCAATATGTTGGTCCACAACTCCGCTTATCTAAACTTTGAATACGTTTTATGACTTTTAAGTCATAATTTATAAATTACTTGTCTGAATTATGATGAGTATTTAATAATTATTTTTTTATAATCAGTAGATTTATAAATCAAAATACTGAAGTAATATTCTGCTTCGAAATATCAAGCTATGAATGTACGTTATCATTCAAAAGAGCAAACAACTCAAAAACATAATAAAAAATAACATTTTTTCCTAATATATTGTTTAGTGGCGACTTAAAACAAGTTTGTAAGATAAAAACATATTTTCAAAAAAGTTAGTATTTTCAGATTTAATGAGTTTCTTACGATAAATATATCACTTTGTGGCTTGTATATTATATAAGCCAACAATTAAACAAATAAAATTGACATATTCAATGCAATTGTAAAGGGGGACATTAGGCGTTGATCTATTTCATATCTTGTACCCATTTAAGATTATACTTATAAATGTAATGGAAACACAGGTACTTAATACTTTTAACATGGAAATCATAAACAAAAACATATCATATACATACTCATTAAAAAAAAATCGACAGAATAAACATAAAACAACTCAACGCATTTTTAACATTTTTATTTAAATTCGATTTTTAAAAACTTGAACATTTAAAATAAGGTCAGTCAATTCTTTTGAATTATATAACTAAAATATATAAAAAATCTTTACAGGGCCAAAACAATCATATAAGAGTTAAAGTTTGAGGCGTGGTCAAAATTGATTATTTTTATACATTATTATACTAAAACCTATAAACGAGGATAACCTATAGAATAAAATAAAAATAAAAGAAAAGAAACTCTTTTAAAGGTTAACACACATTTTCTCGAAAATTATGAACGGAAATTATTGTAATTAATACTTTTTGAGAAAATCAGTATTTAGTATTTACCTCTAAAAGTATCACTTCATATGATAAATGATTCATTTTTGATGTTCATACTAATAAAATTAAAATTTGGAATTTATATTAAGGCTGGCATTCGAATGCAATAGTTTTAATTTGACTACGATTCAAATAAACGTTGACAATTTTAAATATCTCAATAATATTGTAGAACGATTCGTTTTTTAAGCTTTTATATTTTTAAATACACCAAAAAGTTGTCCAACTGTATACACTCTATAATTTAAAGTCAAATAAAAATAGACTGATAACTTTTTCAATCAGGTATATTATTATCAAAAGATAAATATTTTTATCATAATTTAATTACAAATAATATTTGTTTTATTAAATACTATTAATAAGAATAATTACATCGGCCAGTTAAATAATAATTCAGACGAATCCAATAAAAAGTTATAACAACTAATAGCACAATTTACATTAAAAAAATATTAAGTTCATATTCGTGTATTAAGGTAGTAAAGTAACAGTCGATAAAATCATTGTTTGACATATTATAATAATTATTATACAGTAACCTATGCGTTGTGTTCCATAACTTCAAAAGACAAGGAAGTTACGCAAAGATATAATGTACGTACCTATATAATATGTACCTTTGAAAAATTATTGTACTAACTTATATGCTAATTAAATTAAAACTAAGTAGGCGGGGGACGACATAAAGTATGTCTACATAAATAAAAAATATTCACTTTACTGGTAAACACATGTCGCGTAGGTGGCGACACTCTAGTTTAATTTATACGGTTGGGAATTCATGTTATAGGGTAGTTTAATAAGTATTTTTATTAAATAGTTTATAGATTCGTAAGTTAATGGAGGTGACAAAAGAATTTTTTGAAAAGCTAGATGATTTTGTCGATCAATATGGAGGTAAGTAATATTTTATATAAGTTTAAACTATGAAAAAATAAAAATAACTATTACAAATTACAATACACAATTTTAAAAACTAATTTAAGGTTTGGAAATTTTAGGACAGTTTAAAATATCATACGATTTAGGTTGCTACCGCAGACACCAAACTACCTACTTAAACATTTATTAGTTATATGTAGGTACTTTAAAATTCATATTTAGTATTAATTATAGGTTTATATACAATTTATTTTTCAAAATTCGAAAAGTTAGGTAAAGATAATTTGTTAGGTATTAATTGCACAATATCCTGGATAATATATAATAACTCGCATACAGTGATAATGACTTAATTTTGTTGGGTTTTCTTTTTTATAATATAATATTATACTTTATTTAAGTATAAAAACTTCAAATTAAAAAATGTATCTTAGTTGGCAGAATAAGCATTTTTTTTTATGTTGTAGATACTGGGTGAAGAGATGAATATTTTAGAACTAATTTCACAATTATGTGTTATCTTATTGTGAAGTAATTTAGGAATAGTAAGAATACTTCAACCTTCAACTTTGAGGGTGGTTTCTGATAGCAAATTGGATGTAGTTGGTACTTTGAACAGTTCTCACAACCCAAAACATAACAATAAGGGAAGTCATAACTTCATAAGTAAAATATGAACAGTACTTTTCAAAATAATTGGGAAAAACAAAAAAAAGAACCATTGAGAAAAACCTATGTTTTCAACTAAATCGTTTATATTTTTAACATATTTAAATTAATTTTAAGCTATTTAAACCACAAACCTATTCACATCATTCTATGGTATGTTGGTGTGGGTTATAAATTAACAACAGTTTCATTATTTGAAATAATATAATAATAATAATAATCAAGGTTCATAATACATGCGATTATTGGCACGATTTTTTTTTTTGGCAAATACTAGTTCAACCTACCGTACAACTAATAGTAAAATAAGTTACCAATTGCAATATATAAAATACAAATATATAATATTATGAAATTCGGCCGACAACCGTCTCAGCTCAGAATCATTTTTAGTATACAATGATTTATCACGGAATTCAAATTTATCACATTCATTACAATCATTACTACAGTGACCTACTGAATGACGATACACACTAGACACTTAATACACAACAGAGCGACTCCCACAGTTTGTTTTTAATCAGTGTACAAATACATAGAATAAAATGAGTATGTAGTTCTTAGGAATATTTAGATCTCTTTAATAACAATGTTTTTCAACTTCGTAGTTCTAGTACTTGATCAAAAACAAGGAGTGTATTCTCGTTTTCGTCAATATTTTATCTTATAATAAATAATATTGAAAACTGTGTTAAATACAGAGCTATGTTTACTATACAATTTTCAGTATTTTTTTGGTTACTTGAACTAAAAACAAATGTAGGAAATTATGTTTTTGTAACTTCGTGTTATTGTGTTAGTAATTAAAATTCTGAGATAACTTCTATTTACAAATCTAATTTATTTATGAATATATTTATAAATAGTTTATTTTAAGTAGGTATTTAAATAGGTAGTTATATTATGCAAGGTTAAATAATGTAATGTAATAATAACTATTTAATTAGCGTCTGAAGTAGACAGATGGGCACGCATGAGGACTGAAATTAATTATTAATGGTATACGATGAGATTCTCTGTAATTTTATTATCTGGTAATTCAAATGTCTTAGTATTACCATACACGAAACAAATTGATTGCCATCATCAATCATTGATTTTATACTTTTGGGCTTTTATCGTATCAATATGACAATATCTTATGAAAGTGTCGCTGATGAGTGATGACTAACTTTTTTCTCGTGTACTTAAAGTCAACATCACATATTCGCGTACTATACATTTTTATGTTGTACAGATTATGTGTCTTTTGAATAATAATTAATAATATATTGTAAAAATATAGGAAAATCTAGGTTTAGGTATGAAGTATTTACTTCTTGTGTTCTATCTTCTGTTCGAGTGGTATGGATTAAATAATCACAAATCATACATTACACTAGCGATTCCCAAACTGTGCATTGCAAACTATGGTGGATAAAAGAATTTTTTTGAAAGGTCCGCATTTTTATAATAAAACATAATGTTTAGTTTTTGATCAATTCTTATCATTACAACTAAGATTATATAACTGTCTAGAGGAGGACCTGTCACGAATCGCGATGTCTATAAGGGGGAGTGTCACTTGGTAGATAAATCGGATTTAAAACAAAATACCATCACTTTTATGTTAAGAATTTAGATAATTTGCATGTATGAACATTTTAGTATTGTACATTTGTACGATAGACAAAAAAACAGGATTGGTGTTATATGAAGAAAGGTGCGAACCATGAAGGTTTAAGAACCACTGTAATTACACAATACCCATTAACTTATCTACATTATAAACATGGACATTATTTCAATATTATAATAATACTAAATCACTTACCAGACACCACACACTTCACATACGTCATATAAATGTATAACCAAAGTCTATAACTATTGAAATTAATATATTTAAAAACTAATTATATAATTAATTAATGATTAATTTGCTTAGCACTTATTTTTTATAAAATGTAAATGTTTAAAGTCAAATTAGTTAATTGTATTTAATTGTTCTAAACTTTAAAACTAATTATCTTTTATCATTAAAATGTTAAATTTACTGAGGTTTCCTAAACATTTTCGAATATATTATAATATTTAATATTTATAATATTTGGTTAAATTGTAAGCTGCGAAAATACAATTAATTTTATAATTTTAGAGTAATTTAGCTGAAGATCTCAGATTTCTTTGAATTTGTCCTGAAATGTTATTTTTGTAATATTCCGAGAGCGTTAAAACATAAAAATAATTAATTTTATCGCACAGCGGCCAAGTGCGTTCCAGTTGAATTGTAGTATTACTCAGGATGCATTACGAGGAGATAAAATAATTACACCTCCAAAATGTATATAATTTCAAAATGTTTCCCTTGATATACTATAACAGCGTAATAAAAAGTGCAACATATTATTCAATTTACTATCGATATCAGTATTGAGATTTCCCAAGTCCGTTCTATGAGTGAAATACCTCTAAGTACTAGGTAGTGATCTGTATAAGTAATGTACAATAATTTATTATAAACACTGTAGGACTTTGAAAAATGTATCAGCAAAAGTGCAAGACTACTGCTAAATCTCTTGGGTAATTCGAATTTTGTACGTACTTTGGTTACTTTCATTTATCGTTACACTTTATATTTTTATTTTATTACTATCAAAATATAATGATTTGGGATGATTGTTAGTTTTATTTTCATGAAAAAATTGTATAATAATATAATAAATCTTTATTTAATAAGCAATAAACAAAGTATAGGTAACCTTTACTGTACAGCAAATAATATGACATTTTTTCCAGATCCAAGAACTAATGAATGGCCTATGGTCCAAGGAATCACAACACCATTAGCATGTGCATTGGTGTATTTATACCTTGTGTTATACTTAGGGCCAAAATTTATGGAAAATAGAAAACCTTTTCACTTATTACCAATAATTAAAGTTTATAACTTAGTTCAGTTGGCAGCATGTATCTTAATTTTTTATCTTGTAAGTATTATTTTCAACAATTTGCATTTATTGTAATACATACTATTGTACTTATTAAACAATTAACTTTGTTCACGATTTGCATTTTTAGATTTTGATTTCTGGATGGACAACTAAATATACTCTTGGATGTGAGCCTGTTGACTCCAATGCACCACACTCAAATAGAGTAAGGAAAAAAAATGATACTTGTACTTTGTAATGTACTTGAAATACATAATATACATGTGCATAACATAACTCATTTTTGTAAATTTAAAATTAAATTGGGTTAGACCACTTAGCACATCAACTGAATAGGTAACTAATAAAATTGATATCAATTATAAAAGTGGCAATATTTCAAGTTGTCTAAATGTCTAGTTGAGTCATTTTTAATGATATATATATATATAATATATATAAATTATAAGCTCAAATGGATACAAAATTAACTATATTGTATAAGTTTTAGGTTCTGAGCATAATGAGATGAATTGAAGTAGCTAAATTTATTTTAAATGTTTGTAGATTATTTAATTAGTAATAACACTTACATTGCAATTATCTTTACATTCAGCCACAATGAATATTATTCTTTTTCATTTTTTAATCTAATATAAAATTTGAAGAATATTTCTTAGAACTACAAGTCTTGTGAGTTTTGAAATGAGGTGTGTAGAACATAAAATTACACACAATTATGATGTATCGCTCATTTAATGACTTAATAAAAAGTAAAATAAACAAAAATGTATTCTTAACTAGTTCTTAACTGAACCAAAAAAAAAATATTATGATGATATATTGAACTGTTTTGTTTTTGTAGTTAACTAAACTGTTTTGGTGGACATACATGTTGAAATTGGTTGAATTTGCCGAAACTGTAAGTATTATCTTTACTCTGTTTAGAATAAGAATAGTAGTCGGAGGCCAGGTTGCGCGTATGGGCGTGGCAATACTTAACGGCAGGTTTGTAGATCGATGACTAGGTGGGGATGAAAAACAGGCTCTGCCTGATCGTCAGTGATGAAAATTTGTTGATGCCGACTACTATTTTTATTCTGAACAGAGTATAAAGTTATTATAAAATAATGCATTTTAAGTTTAAGTCTTCTTAGGTTTCTTTATATACACTTATATTGTGTGTGTCTGTTGCAACATTTGTTGCCAGTAATTTTCAATTGGATACTTTTTGACCTACAATGGACAAGAGATCTTTAATGTTTTTATATGAAATAAATTACATTTTTTCTATTATTTATGTTTACCTATCCTTTATAAAATATAAAATTTAGAGGCCCAATATTTATCATGATTTTTTTACCTTTTTAGTAGATAGTCAATGACAATTTTAACATACACAATTTTATCAAGCAATTTAATATTATACAACAATAAGTGGTTATTATTAAGAATGTAATTTCCTAAAACTCATAAACTATGAAGGTATAATGAACCAGATTGTAATAAAATGTAATGTTCTTTACTTTTTTATAACTTTTTTAATGACTGTAAGTTTGGCATCACTAATGGGTGGGTTTTGACTCACACAAATGCCAAACCCCAATACATTTTTACTTCTTCATATCGTATATGCACTTATAGACATGTTATTGTATAGTTTATATAGGCAGGTATATTCTTATAAAAATTAAAATTAAAAAGGCTGGAGGGTTTTAAATTTTAACTAATATAATCTATCTTATAATTGGTATTAATGGCAGACCTAGGTGCATACAGTGTGTAACAGAAAAACTGACAGATGTAAATAACCAATTATATAAAAACACTGTAATGTATACATAAATAAATATTTTTTATTTATGGCTTTATTAATTTAATTATAATAATTTACAAGACTACTTTTAACTATATTTAAAAAATTAGATAGAAGTAGAAGCATTTATATTAGTTTGAGAATCTATATGAATTTATGATACACTACATTAACGTACTCTGTTAGAATGAAACTTTAGAGTCCAACAAAAATGCTTTGAATACCTTTAATAACTTAAATTCAAAATAATTTTAAACTTATATTAGGTAATATATTAAAAATTGTTTAATTTTAGGCATTTTTCATACTACGTAAAAAGACAAAACAAGTTTCTGGACTTCATGTTTATCATCATGCGTCTACATTTATTTTAGCGTGGGCAGCTGTTAAATTCTTCCCAGGTAAATAACAATGCAAATTTAGTTTAAAAATCATTGAGGTTTTTTTAAATTTTAAATAATCTAACTATTTATTATAGGTGGTATGGCTTCGTTTCCAATTTTAGTGAATTCAGTAGTACATATTATTATGTATGCTTACTATCAACTTTCATCTATGGGACCACAATATCATAAATTTACGTTTAAGTATAAAAAATATGTGACCATTATTCAACTGGTAATTATCTACATAACAAAATTAAATTATAGAATGTCTTTTATTTTATATTATATTATTTATAAATTATAGATTCAGTTTGGAATACTTGTAGTACATACACTACAAGTTTTGTCATCAAGTTGTTCCATGCCTAATGCATACCTATATGGAATGCTACCAGACATCATGGTATTGTTTTATTTATTTTACAAATTTTACAGAAAAACATACGCGGCAAAAATAAAAAATGTAGAGCTGAATTCGGTAGAAAAAATTAAATAAATATTTAATCATTTGTATTATTCCTATAAAAGTATAGAAAAATTACATCCAACAAAAATGAGTAGGCATATAAAAATTGTTTAACATTAAATTTTAAATTGTAATATTATTTATTTTTCTTAAATATTTTATATTATAATTAAAAAGAAAACCTAACATTTGTATTATTTTTCTGTTTATACAATACATCATTGAACTGCTTTATATGATAAATTGTTGGGCTTAATCTACATTTTAAATTTAAATCACCTATTTATTTTATGTTACAATCTTAAGTGTAAACAATTATAAAATTATTTTTACAACTGAAATGAAAAGTAATTTTATTTCTTATTCGTCATATCCAATTATATAGGTGAGTATTAATTCCTTTTTTTATGCTTACTAGACTAATATATTCTCATAGTACATGTTACATGCACAAGTTTTGTCATCAAATTATTTCATTTCTAATGCTTTAAAGAAATTTGATTTAAAAAAAAATAAAGACTTCAGTTAGAAAATTAAAATTATATGGGTTATTACTTAATTTAGAAAAAGACCTACATTTTAACCACTGTTTCACAAGTTTATTTGTGACTTTTATAATAAAAGTGTACACAAAATAATTTATCAATTCTATATGTCATGTTTAAATAATAATTAGGTATCTAAGGCTGTACCAATAGATTATAAATTATTTGTTACTTTCATGCTTACCGTATAATATGAGAGTGTCCCCGAGATGTCATCGAGAACACACCAGCGATACTGCCATCCTTTAACAACATTTGTCCATTTGCTCAATGTACCTTCCATTCTAGTTCAATTATTAAAATTAATTAAAACCATAAATACTAATAACTATTGGAATTTTTTATTGTTCAAATCTAGTTTCATTAGGTACATCTAAATAAAACATATTAAGCTATTCAAATGTCTTAAATAATGTCAAAAAAATAAACATTTAAGAAAAATATGTACTATTACAGTATTACAGGCTAAAATTGTAATAATAATAATCTATAATAGGTTTTTAAATAAAAACATAAAACTAAAAAAATATATGTATATTGCACTGAATACTGATAACACTATTTATCTACTGCCTGTTGTAACCACCGCAGAATTAAGTTGCTAGAAAGTTTAAGACACGTCCAGTGTGACCAAATGCGACAGTTAAAAAACACTTAATTTTCTACAGTATAAAACGAAATTGCTGACGGCAAGAATACCGCCGGTAGGTTGTATACCCACGATTTAAAATACTATCTTAAATCGAGGGTATGCATAATACCTGCAACCTGTATAGTACCTATTAATATATAATCAGTAATCACCTATATAACTGAGAGTTTCTTACTGATTTTTTACTCATAATAAAAAAAAATTAAAGATTTAAATAGACGAATAATTTATAAAAAAAAATTGCTTCACTTTCATACCTAATAATGTATTAGAGCTTTACTAATATTCGTGCCAAGCCCAGTCAAATAACCCCATAGGGCCCTAACTGCAAAAGAAAATGCTATTGAGTCATAACAATAAATCGTCATAATAGATATATAGATATAATACCCATGTCTCGTATAAATAGTATAACCATGTAAATGTTAATCATTGTTAGTAATTACTATTTATTACCGGTTTACTTTTATAGAAATAATACGTAATAGCTACCTATTTTTATTTTTAACCGTAATTACTGATTTCATATACGCTCACTAGAATTTATTAAATCTTCAGTTTGATATTTATAGTCTATAGATGGTTAGGTTAGGTCTAAATTTATTAACGATTTTCAAATGGGGGATGAAATTTGAATTAACCCATACAAAATGTAATAATAAACCCATTTTAAGATGTAAATATATACGTTAATACCTATAGTTGCTGCTAAAACAGTATAACTTATACTCTATAGTATAATATACATATATAGAAATAGAATACAGTATACACGTATTTTCTTCCCCAATATATGTGGTTATTCAAAAGCTGATTTTTGGAGATTTTCAAATATACCTTAAGATCATTTTTTCATAATTCTTAAGGTCTTTTCTACAAGTTAAAGAGTGTCCTGCGGTGATACAGACTTCTGTTCTTTCAAATGAGAACACTCCTTTTAAACTGTAAATTATTAAGTACCTATGTAATTATTCAGTGGATAATTTTTCTGAAAATATTGACGTATCAAAAGCAAAATACTCACAGGTATTTTTTGAGTTATTTAACTTATTGTGTTCTTAGCATTAAAGGTTTTTCGTTTTTGGTAATGGGTTCTTAAGATATGGGGGCACAAAGTTAAATAACTTAAGACTACTCGTTCGGAATTTGATTTTAATACTTCAACATTTTCAGAAAATTAATTCGCTAAATAATTTATAGAAGAAAAATTGAGGTTTCATTTAAAAAACAGAAGTTTTTATATTTAGGTACAGAACACTCCAGTATAAAAAATCTCTAGAATTAAAAAAAAAATATATTTAAGTTTATTTAAAAATGAAAAAATCAGAAAATAAATAACTGCATTATTTAAGAAAGTAGGGAATGATTATGCTTGATGTTTCACATTGTATAATACGTAATTAACATTTAACATTTAATTCAATAATTATGTGGTTGCTGATGGGTTGGTTTAAAGTCATACAAAAGTTTTGAATTCTGATTATTGACTATTGCTGTATGCGTGTGATTTCCGGAAATAATGGAGATACTAACTTATAGTAAAATTAGAGAAACATCCAAATATTCATAAAAAGATTTATTAGGGTAGTGTTGAAAAAATCCTTAAATAACTACATAAATTATGGGTTAAGATAAATATAAAATAAAAAATGGAAATATTAAATATAATTAGAATACTTTTGGGAATTATATTATGCGATATTGTTATAAACTGCAGTTGGGCTGGATTGGTATACATCGGCCCCTCGAGATTTTCACTTCTAAGCAGCCCATTCACATATTCATTGGCCCAAAATGACATCTAAAATTGTTACGAGTTGTTGTTTTAATAGTCAATGTAACTAAGACTCCTAGGAAAAAAGTCTTGGTAAAAAAAGTTCGGTAATCTACATACTTTTCAAAAGTATTTGAATACATATTTAGTTTTAAAAAAACATTTTATTTTCGTCCAAAATCAATATAATACAATAATTTCGTTATGTATATAGGTACTTAAGCCTACAAAATACATTTTGTAAAAACTATTGGTCATTAAAGTACAATGGTAAAACGAAAATAACCTTAAGTATTCTGGAATAAAAGTATTTAAAATGAATTTGTCAAAAAGTATTTGAGAAATATTTTTTTTTTTTTTATTATTATAAAAGTCGCTAGTATAGACATAGACTATGATAGCTTGACAATTTAAATACCAAAAAAAGTATGTAAATACAAGTATTGTGTTTTCGAAATTCAAGTAAATAACAAGGCTGGATGCTATATTAGAATAACGTACTAACATATAGGTAATAGGTATGCACTATGCACTTTGCAGTATGCACCGTATATGGTATATGTGTATATTGCGTGTAGTTACTAACCACTTGGTAATATTGATTTTATGTTATATAACTTTGTATACACTTGTAATAATTTATAATATAATAAAGTGCATCTAGTGCAGTACCTACTGACTTTATAATTAATTTAATCCGTATATGAAATTAAGTATGTTATACTAGTATATTATATATGATTATTATTTTATTTTGTTTATTTATTAACTGACACCCTTTACCTTAAGTTAATAAATTAACTCATAAGCGGAGAACGATACAGAATTCAACAACGTAGGTACCTACATATAACAATAAATTGACAATTATTAAGAATAAGTACAATGTGAAGAGAAAGAAAATAATTAGAAATACATTAATTGAATAAAGATACTGGTAAAATGATTATGGATTATCATTAACATTGTTTGTTTTTCATTCTTTGTACAGATTACAGTACTATTAATAATTGAGTATACATTTTAGTGTTTTAATATTTACCGAGGTACCTATTTACTTCTTCAAATAACTTAATCTCATTACAATTTATTAACAAGTTTTAACAGTAGGAATAATAGGATTAACATCAACAAGAAGAACAATAAACAACATAAATAATATAATAATTATAAGATAATATAAATATATATCATACTACCTATTTGTTATTTAATGCTCATAGTTAAATTTATACGTATGAGTATTATGATCCCATTGATCCTATGGGTACCTGGCCACTGGGTAGTGAACGAATAATTGATTTAAAAGTTCTTGGCAATAATACTAATATATTATTATAATTAATATAATATATATATACCTATGTGGCTATGTATCTATCTGATCACATAGATAATATAAACATTACTTCTGTAAACAGGTTAAGTCAATATTGTAAATTTCAAACAATTTTTAAAGATGTTAATTTGTATTTAATACATTTGTTCCATTTTTTTTAAAATAATATGTTCAGTTTAAATTACTCTAATTTCGTCTTCTGATTAATACTTACATTGAATAATATTTTAAAAAGATATTCAAGACATTTTATGGAATAAATAGTGGATTAGTCAGCTGAGTTGTAAAAAAAAGTGGTAATAGTTAAATGTCATGAATACTGTTTTTTTTTTTTACAAAATCATTGTTAAACGTTTCGTTTTGTCGGTTCAATAATTATGAGAGTTTTTTTACTCAACTGAAAGATATAAATTGGTGTCAAAATAAAAATAGTCTTTTAGACGATTTGTTACACTGATTATTAATAATAAAACATAATCTACCATGGGTGTTGATAGCTTCGTTTAAAAAGTAGGTATATCGATTTGTGTTGTATAACCCATTCATTCAAGTATACAATCCCTGCCAGAATTGCTATTACCTTTAGGTAATGTACGTTTTGAATTCATTGCTAATTTTTGTTGTTAAAATCTGACCTTCTTTACTTGAGCTATTGTTTGGTTGCAATCTTTTCCAAACCCATTTACTTAGAAATAAGAAATTTTATTTTCTGAATTAGTTGAGATTTTTTTTGTTAGTGAAAATAAAATCATGGTTATTGCACATTTGCATCTAGTTATAAATAAAATAAAATAATTAGTTATATCTATTCTGTATCTTTAGAATATCTAGTGCATCCACTATCCAGAGTCCTAACATAAAATGATAAAGTATACGGCCATAGCGGTCTGTTACTTAAAAATTAAAAGCGCACATTGATAATGATGAGATATTTTTTTAAAAGAACCTAATAAAAACGTATTTTAAAAACAGATTGCCCATCAGTTTTGTAAGCACAACAAATCTTTGCACTAAAATAATAAGTAGATTGTAGATATAGTATCACATATCTGCAGAGTTTTATAACATGAAGTCCCGTTATTTTACAAATATACATTAAAATTCTACAAAATTACACCAACATGATATTATGTAACAATATACCTATTATTACACGTCATAATACACAGAGTTCTGTATAATATCTAAATTCTAAATATCTAATAACTATTAAACAAGAAAATTATGAATCACCATTAAGTATTAATATATACGATATACCTACTTTATTGTGTAACTAGTAATTCGTCATTTCTATTCGTGTAAAAATATGTATTGCTTAAATGTTTAATTTACGATTTAATTGTTTAAATTAGTATTATTGGTAT